TATTTTATAGATCTCGTTTTCGTCACCACCATCGTCATGTGCAAAGGTATAAAATTCTAACTCAAAACCCCATACTCGATGCTTGCGATGAGCCGGTGGACCTTCCTACGCGCTCATGTATCACGGTGAGAGGGAAATCGGTGCGACGCTTGTGACGAGGTGGGTAAGCCTCAAAGCGCTGACATAGCGTGACAAGGAAGAAAATTAAGTACCCTTAAGCTCCCGTGTAGCATAGCGGGGGAAATAAAATTGCGCTGTTTGAAAATAGGTACCCCAAAGACCCTTAAGCGCTCACGTAGCGTTGCAAGGATTGGAAAAATGCAGCCGCAGTGTCATCCGACATCTACCTAAAGCCCTCACGTAGTGTGGAGGGGAAGACTATGTCTCTCGAGTTTCCTCTAAACGGGGGAGACACCGGAAGGTTGCCGGATTTTTCAGTGACATAGGGGACTTGGACTTGGACTTGAATCTGAAGAAAAAGCAAAGTGGCACAAAACTTAAACGATTAATAATGACTTAAACATAAAGCTGAACTCAAAACAATTGACGACGAAAATGACTTGAACAATTTGAACAATTACAAGGGACTTAAACAAACGTGCATTTGAACAAAAATGCAGAATATAAGAGCTTGAATTTGAGTGGACTACAGGGAACCGGACATTAAATTGGAAAATGCATATATCAATTAAAATGCAAATCAATTGAACATCAATTGAAGAATACCTTTTCATTAACCTCAGCTGTAGGATTACAAATTGAGGCAAGGCAAAACAGAAGCGCATTAGAGAGTATAAGAAATGCATTCTTCCGGGGTTGATTAACATTAAATGTTCTCCATCTTTAATTTGTAAGAAATTCAAAATATATATATTTCAAAATTTTCTTTAAATCCAATCATTTTAAAATGTTTATTTTGTTTCACATCTTTCTTTCATTTTGTTTGTGCATATTTAGATTTTGGACTAATAGGTCGATGGAAAATAATGGTAGATGGAAAAGGTCCTTGTAAGACTCGGCTATATCCTCCACAGAAAGTGGAGGTACGGGTGGCATTATGGCTTGGGGCATGAAGCTAAATGGAATTGGGAATTTCCGTAGGAATCGCCATGATACTTTCCATTAACTGCGACAAACGCTGATTTACATCTAAATTGCCCTCCTTTATTAGACGCCAAACGATAGGAACATTTAGGAAAACTTTATATTAAAGATTTTATTTGTTCAATTCATTTCTGAATCCATACATGCCAAGCACAATTTTACTTTAGTTAATTGGTTAATATCACGTGAATTTATTATCATAACTTATTCCATTTTTACAACCTTTTTTCCTTGCTTTCATGGACCAAAATAAGCATTGTTAAACTGGCCCGGTTTTATGAGTTTTGGTTTCAATCCTGTTTATCACCTATTAAGTTCAGCATTCCAGCAAAGAGGTAACTGAAATGAGAAATAGAGAACAAATAGTTCCAACATATATTCTACTGTTAAGATTTGTCATTATTCCAAATTTCTTTTAATTTGAAAAATTGAAGTGCTTGCAACAATTTTCATTGTAACTGTGTCATCATGATTTCTTTCTTTCGAAGTTATGTTGATGGTTTGGTTCATGCCTTTTAAATGGAAGGAAGACATGCATCCTACGAAAATTAATTAGTGAAAGTTCATTTCATTGTAAATGTTATTTGATTACATTGCGATAGTTCGGTTTGATGTCAATCATAACTTGATCAGAATAGTAATAAAAACTCTCTTATAAAACAATAATGCTTCTAATCAATTGATAATTCTGTTGCTTCTTACTACTCTCTCCTTTCCCTCAAATTATTTTATTCCATATCTTTGAATAATAAAAAAAAATTGGCCTCGTGTAGATGTTTCCAAGAACCCAGAGCTGTGGAAGAAACTAGGCTTAATGTTAGAAGATGGAGATGATTTTGACTGCCCTGTCTGCCTTTCTCCACCAACAAAGACCATCATAACACGCTGTGCTCATATCTTCTGCCAAATCTGCATATTGAAAACTCTCAAAACTCTCAATCCATGTTGCCCGATCTGCCGGCATCCATTGTCAGAAACTGATCTTTTCTTAGCTCCAACACCAGAAGTTTCAGATGAGAATCCCACAACAGACTTCTCAGGCTTGCCGATCTCATCCAAGGTATTGGCATTGCTGAACCTCCTTCTGGAATCCAAGAAACACAAGGAATCAACCAAATCTGTAGTCTTTTCACAGTTCCGAAAGATGCTGATCTTGTTAGAAGAAGTGCTAAGATCTGCTGGTTTTGTAACACTTCGTTTAGATGGTTCGATGAGCATTAAAAAGAGGGCGGAAGTGATCCAAGAGTTTTCGTCGAATCAGCCCAATGCTCTGACGCCGACGGTGTTATTGGCCAGCCTCAAAGCTGCTGGTGCAGGAATAAACCTCACAGTGGCTTCAAGAGTGTATTTGGTAGAGCCATGGTGGAACCCAGCTGCTGAGGAGCAGGCAATGGATAGGGTTCATAGAATTGGACAAAATGAAGAAGTGAAGGTTGTTAGACTTATTGTGAAGGATAGTATTGAGGAGAGAATATTGGCGATCCAAGAGAGGAAGAAGAAACTTGCAGGTGGTCTTTTTGGTAAGAAAGCTGCTAAGGAGCAGAAGAAAGTGCAAATCGAGGATATTGGTACCATGCTTCGCCTGTAGGTTCTTTCTTTACCTTGTTTTTGCATGCCATGATTTTGCCTGAAAGAAAGTTTGAATGCCTTTTTGCTGCTTTTGTATTTTGTTTATGTAAAATGTTTGTATCATATAACTTCTAGTATCTTGCTGGTTTAGTAACCCTTTTTTTTTAACTTATATTTTGAGTTTTCAATACTTTTGATACTCTTGAATTTTGATTTGATACATTTGAGCATTTATTTTGGTGAAATTTTGGGTTAGGATGTCTTAATCAAAAATTTTGATTTGAATAAATTTTAAAATTCTTAAAATTATTTTGAGATGAGAGCAGTATATGAATCAATCAACTCTTATATTGGTGTATTAATTTCAAAACAAATGCATGTATTGTTAAATTTTAATTAAGATATGGACTCCAAAGCATTCAGGTAGAAATAACAATCATGTGTGTCGATTCTTTGCAACAAAACTCATCTTAAAATTTTCATAAAATTAAAAAAATATATATATATATATATAATTCAACTCGATGCAAATTTTATTAAACAAAGCACACCATTACAAACATGAACACAGAAAATCACCAAATGTTTTTGCTCAACAAAGAAGCAGAATTTTTTTTTTAAGGCATACTCAGCACATAAACCGCAGCAATCAAAAAGACAATAGAGAATTTATTCCTTGCACCAAAGCTAATAATAAGAAGGTATAAGAAAAAAAAATAAATATTGAGCAGCTAAACTCTGAAGTGTTCAATTGTCCTGATTTGCTTCTTCTTCCTCTTCATATTCAATCTCGTCATCAGCTGTAGCATCCTGATACTGTTGGTACTCTGAGACGAGATCATTCATGTTGCTCTCAGCCTCAGTGAACTCCATCTCATCCATACCCTCACCAGTATACCAATGCAAGAAAGCTTTCCTCCTGAACATAGCAGTGAACTGTTCGCTAACTCTTCTGAACATTTCCTGGATTGAAGTTGAGTTACCGATGAATGTGGAAGCCATAGAGAGACCCCTCGGTGGAATGTCGCATACACTCGACTTCACGTTATTCGGGATCCATTCGACGAAGTAGGATGAGTTCTTGTTTTGTACATTTATCATCTGTTCGTCGACTTCCTTTGTGCTCATCTTCCCGCGAAACATGGCCGATGCAGTGAGGTAACGGCCGTGGCGAGGGTCAGCTGCGCACATCATGTTCTTTGCATCCCACATTTGTTGAGTCAACTCGGGGACTGTGAGGGATATGTAGTGTTGTGATCCTCGAGAGGTCAGCGGGGCAAAACCAACCATGAAAAAGTGTAGTCGAGGGAATGGAATCAAGTTTACGGCTAGTTTTCTAAGGTCAGAATTTAGCTGGCCAGGGAATCTAAGGCAGCATGTAACTCCACTCATGGTAGCAGAGATCAAGTGATTTAGGTCCCCAACTGTTCATATTTGTGCTCAAGTGAGAAATGCCACATAACAAAATTCATTTATTAATTATCACAGTTAAACTTATCAAAATTCACTACATTTCTCCTAGTAAATTAGAACAGGCCATCATTGTAGGATTAGATCTACATGTAATATTTAATAGAAACAAAATATGTTAAGCAAGAGATTATAAAGACCAAACAACCATAGTAGAATAAGAGAGTGACAAGAGCCTCAAAAGGTGATGATCTACTTTCTTTATAAACTACCCTAGTTAGTTATATCTAAGATGCCTTATCTAAATTAGATGGCTTGTTTTTTTGGTTTTTTCCAAAACCATAGCAATTTTGAAAACAAATTAGAGGTGTTAATCCCAATCATCAATATAATCACTTGATTAAGGCATAAAAATAAGCACTTCATTAGTGTAAATCATGTTAGCTCCTATCATACAAAGAGGTTGAAAAAGCACACAAATGAAGATAGTAAGGTGTAATGATAGCGCCATTTTATTAAAAGAAAATAAAAGACAAAAAAGGCATCTTGGAGGTTGAAGATCTAGATCTAAACTATATTCAAATAATATACATCTATCATTGCAGGTTGGCCCTTATTGTAAGTGGTTGTTTGGTATCCTATTTTAGGCAAGATTTAACTTAAATCCTACTTAATAGTATTTGGGGATAAAATCCTTTTGTTTTGATAAATCGTGTTTGAACCCAATTATTACTTAAATGTTAAATCCTACCATACATAAGATTTAATCGATTTGAGGACTTCTCCCACTCAGAAAAATATTAATCATGAAACAAACAACCAAACAATTTATCATTGTTTAGCAAGATTTAATAAATTTCAACCCAAATAGCTTATAGGTTTTAATCGTATCAAGAATTGCAAAAATTGGATTTAAAATATGTACTAAATTCTTCAAGTTTGCAATTCTATTTTAGGCAAATGTTAAGCTACATTTAGCTTAAATTTAAATTTAATCGAATAAAATTTTATGGACTTTAAATCTTACTGTTTTGATAAATCCCACCAATAGTAGAATTAAAGAATTTAAGCATTTTCTCCTTTTGGAAAATCTTAAATCCTAAAACAACTAACAACAGAGTTTATCAGAATTTAAAAAAATTTAACAGTTATTATGTGAAAAAAATTTCAGGTTTTAATTCCCTGAAGGTTTCCTATTTTGTAGCCAAACAGGATACAAACTGCATATAAGCACAGTTAAATCTATTGGAAAGCAGTAAATCTAAACTGAAGGGTCAAAAAACTTGTGCAAGCTGCAGATTCAATAAAACGGCATATAACCACCGTTTTCTAAATTGATTTTAGAAGAAGCAAACAAAAAAGTAGATTCAGATCATAATGGCAGATAAGTGATGAAATACAAAAAAAATCTAATAAATAAGTTGATGAAGAACTGCATGAATTTAGGATACTTACAACTAGGAGTGGTAAGCTTGAGAGTACGGAAACATATGTCATAAAGGGCCTCATTATCAAGAACCATGCACTCATCCGCATTCTCCACCAACTGGTGTACAGAAAGAGTTGCATTGTAGGGTTCAACAACTGTGTCGGAGACCTTTGGGGACGGGAATACAGAGAAAGTTAGCATCATCCGATCAGGATACTCTTCCCTGACCTTAGAGATCAGCAGAGTTCCCATCCCGGAACCAGTTCCTCCACCCAGTGAGTGACACACTTGGAACCCTAAACGTAGAAAGCACAATTTAATTAGAATGAACTGATCTAAAAATCAGCAATTGATATAAAATTAACATAGTTTGAAGTATTATTCGGAATATAATTGTGTCCAACTAAAAACACAAATCAGATCCAGTAATAACATGAGCATAAAACGAATTAACCGGATCACAAAAGGAAAAAAATATTAAGTAAAAACGAATGTATAAGCTGAAAATACATGAATGCCGCCGCAAGCAATTATGCTGACGAGATCAGCCATGCCTTGAACTCAATTTCCAATATCAGATCTTGCCAATAAATAAATAGATTAATAAACCATTACTCTAGTATCCTAATTTAGGCAGGATGTACGCAACATTTAGGTTAAAATCTGTCAAACAAAAGTATGGAAACTTTAAATCCTACTGTTTTGATGAATCACATTTCAACTTTATAATTGATTAAATCCAAAATTTTCTAAGTATTATCATGGGGATCGAATACCCAAAATTTTAACATTTCAACTTATATCATGCTATTATCATGCACAGGATTTAATGTTGAAGTATTTCTCCTATGATAAAATTTAAATACCTAAACAAATAGTTAAATGATTTATCAGGATTGAGTAAGATTTAACAATTGTTATTGCAATCATTTTTCAGTGTTTGATTCTCTCAAGATTTACTAAATCTTACTCGTAGCCAAGCAGCCAAACTGCGTATGAACAAAGAAAGCATACCTTGAAGACAGTCACAGTTCTCCGCCTCCTTCCTCACCACATCAAGGACCGAATCAATAAGCTCGGCCCCCTCAGTGTAATGTCCCTTGGCCCAATTGTTACCTGCGCCAGATTGTCCAAACACGAAGTTATCAGGGCGGAAGATCTGGCCATAGGGTCCCGTCCTCACGCTGTCCATAGTTCCTGGCTCTAGATCCATAAGGACTGCCCTGGGAACAAACCTTCCACAAGATGCCTCGTTGTAGTAGATGTTCACCCTTTCCAATTGCAGATCCGATGTGCCCGTGTACCGCCCTGTCGGATCGATCCCGTGTTCATCGCACACTACTTCCCAAAACTTGGATCCGATCTGGTTACCACATTGGCCACCCTGTACGTGAAGGATTTCTCTCATCTTTAACCGTTCACGCTCTCTCCCTCTACCACTGATACTACCTGGAAAGGAACAAGAAGCGAATCAGACAACAGAAGATTGCCGGCGCCATAAAATAGAGAGAAATGGTGAGATAAAAAAGGCTGGGATTAGGGTTCCGGCGATCTGACCGGCGACAACTAGCACTAGACTGGGAGATGGACACTGGAATGTCCTCGAAGAGCAGGTATAAATAGTCGTTTTCTAAGTTAAGAGAGTGGGATCCTGGTATTGCTTCTCATTCAAATTTATTTTTACTGGCGATGCCGTCCGTCCGATGGGAGTGATCGGACGGCTGGCGGGCCCGCCGCTGGCAAGTAAAGCCAATCGTTTTATTATTATTATTATTATTGATTGAAGAATGCCGAAAGTACCCCTAATTCGGTTCAATTATTAGAGGACGGTACCGCATTGCCGAAATTGCCCCTATCTTTATCATGTGTAAGAAAAATTATTTCTCTAGAGCCAAATTATTAGGTCCAATAAAATATTAACACGTGGAGTGGACACGAGAATATTCAATTGAATTTATGTTTTACTTTGTATATTTAATGTGTCCGTAGAATTTTAAGTCAAGCGCTAATAGAACGCAGATAAAGCGTAGTAAAAAAACGTAATAAAAGAACAGTCAAAGCGCAATTAAAGTGCAATTAAAACGCAGGTAAAATGCAAACGCACATTAAAGTGCAACCAAAGTATACTCAATGTAGCAAATTTTAAGTGGATGCTCGGACGTATCTCTACGTCGGGACTTAACACTTATTTAGACATGAAAGGCTAAAACCCCTACATTTGAATTTCAATATATTTAGATATGCACTCAACAAAATATTCTTGATGATTTGACATAAGATTTTGTTAGGGCAAACTATATGATATAAAGATATACCTTATTATATAATTGTAAGATGGAAAAGCATTTTTCAACATTTCTTCTAATTTGAACCTTTATTATTTGGTTAAGAGTAGGCTTTTGGTCTGGGTTTGAAAGAATTTATTGCCTAAGTAGGTGCCACTGCTTATCAAAATTATGGATGTCATGAAAGATATTTTTTTATCATTAGAAAATTAAAACAATTCCAATTTTTTTAAAAAAAAGGACTTGTATTTCATTTTTTCAATTACTATTAATTCTACCTAATCAATTGTCAGGTTGGTCATAATCTGCGATTTAAAAGAGGTTGGAAAGAATACTACAAAATATTGAGTTATTCTTCAAGAAATTACTTGATTATATTTTCAAAATATCAACAAATCGACCTTCATGTTCCTCTCATTCCAAGTAGATCGCTAATGGCCTCTTATTATACCAACTTGTTTTTTATACATAATAAAATCATTGCTCCGTTATTTTATGAGTAATCTATCTTAAAATACGCCTCTTAAGGAGAGGAGATAATCCATGAAAAATTAATAAAATCATATTTGATCAAATAAGATTTTGATAACTATAAGAATACTTAAGATAAACAAATTTTATTTTATGAATGGTTAATTACATTCGCTAGTCATCAATCTCAAAAAATGGCTGTATTCACTACTCATTACATTTCTTAAATATTTTAAATAATTGGGAAATCACTGGCATTTCACATTTGGATGAAAATATACTACCCTAAAGACTCTTCCTATAGAAAAAAAACAATTGATAAGTTAAACAAGAAGAACATCAATAATTATTACAAACAAAATGTTGAAGCTTAATAAGTATTTTTTAATCCTATCCGGTGAGAATAAATATAAATAAAATAAGCGGTGATGGCTCTAAGAAAAGTATATGTTTCTTGTTATCATATCTTCCTTCCTCAAATGTGACATTTGGAAGAAAAGAGTGAGTAGTTAAGCCAAGTCATATAATACAAATGCTATGAATAAATGAATTAAATTTATGTCATGAAATAGTAAGAGAAAGTTTTAAAATTAAGATAATTACATGATTATTGACCACTTCTTATCATTTAATTCTCATCATGTTTTTATGACTTTGATTTAGTAATTATTGGACTTATCATCATTTGGGTGTTCCAATCAATTTTTTTTTTTAAATAATGAGCGAAATATAATTTGTTTATATAACAGAAGACTTGATGTCTCCCTATGGAGAAAGGAGAGTCGAGGTGTCAGTGGGGATGATGAGTTGATGAATATGTTAGGAGTTGTAGTTAAACGAGTAAAATATCATTAGAGGTTAGTGTTGTCATGCCCAAGATCAATTTTGAATGAGTTTTATATATTTAATTGCTTAAATAGTCAACCAGAACTTCTTTGAATTCATCAATGTAAATCATTCTAGTGGAAGCATTTATAATTATGCTCATTATAGTTCTATTTATAAATATTATCAATGTATATTTGCTTAAGTATATGATTCAGCAAGATATGAAATCCAACTTTAATGTAGTTTTTTATTCATTCATATGTATTCATCATTATCATTATTGTGGACCTCCAAAAGGACACCACCGCAGCTACCGAATGCAAAAGGGTATACGACCGCATCACCCCGACGGATAGAGATGATCGCAGGCCTCCGCGCTCCTCGCAAGTGGGCCAATGGAATGGAAAATTAGATCACACATATAATTAACCATTGAGGACAGCGGCTCTCACCAGCACACCCCGATGGGTAGTAATATATACAACCTAATCAAAACAACAGATTTCCCCCACCCGATACATCAGCTCAAGTGGGTTTTTTTATTGTGGAATTCCATTTCTCACAGACGCAAGCCCCAGTGATTAATTACATCTAGAGCCTAGGGCCCGAGAAAAATCTCGATTAAGGATCCGACATTATTCTTCCTTGATAAGGAATTGGTACACAAAGGGGGAATAAGAAGTTCCTACTCAGAGGGAAAGAAGAGGCTCAACTCGGCTTAGTCAATATATACGGTTCATCTCAGGATCCAGAGGGACTAAGATAATAAGAAGAGAAAGAGAATCATACACTCAGAGCATATAGAGGGAAAAGATGGAAGTGGTGTCATCTATGTGACACGGATAGACAGGATTTACAGTCCCTGAAGAAAAAGAATTTACCCATCATTTAGGTCTACTACAAAACCCGAATGTAGTAGCCTTGAACCTTAAATTTAAGGTAAGTTTAGTGTTTTACCCAACACTAACACCTGTATCCTAGCTAATGCATATGGGCTTATACCTACCTGAAAAGAGGTGCCAACTAACTTCCTAAGTGCATAAAATCCATACAGTTCAGCCTTTATGAAAGATAGGTAGGTAGGTTGAGTGTTTTGGAAGTAGGGCCAATGTCTAGAGAGTTTCCTAATTGGCCCTGGACTTTTGTAGGGTGAATGCTCCTAGAGCTAATGCAATTAAATTTTTAATACAATACATGCTAGTTAAAGGATCCAAATCATGAATGTATGAGATTTTAAAAATGTGTTTATATAAAAATAATTTTTAGAAAGATTGGCCCTCCCTAGATCCGGCACTTCATCCTTGTAGGCTAGTTTATTCGAACTTTACTCGCAGGCGGGGAGGTGTCTTACTAGAAGGAGAGAAACTGCATTGATATGCATGCAACCCTAGATGATTCCAATAGTTCCCTAGCTCATTAAGTTTCTATGTTATTTAAACCTTAAAATTTTAGAATTTAATTACGAGTAGAAAAAGTTTTAGTCCTTAAAGAGTCTAGCGAAAATAGGTCATATACAAGCAAGAAAGAAACCTAGAAAAAACAAACAATTTTTTAAGTGCAATCAATAGTATACACATCAATATAAATTCAAAAAAACATAGTAAAGTAAAGTTCAAGACAAATGACGTATAAGTATAACCCAGGGTCTGCAGAAAAATAATGGTGTCTAGGCTCCACCAACAACAACCTGGATTCTAGTTCTAATAAACGACACAAGTCTTAAAAGCCAGGCATTTTGTCTTCAAGTTTCCATCTTTGAGTGGATCATCCTTTTCTAGATCATCTCCCTTTGGATCGTTTCCTTCAAGCTCCGTCTGGTTCATCCTCTAGAAGGGTACCCAAATAACTAAGAAATTTCTCGAGAGGGAGTCTTTCTTATTCTCTTTGGATACTGGGTATTTTAAATATGGGACTCTTAAAGATTTTCACAACTCAATATGGATTACATTGAATTATATTTGAAAAATAAATTTAGACTCAAACTCCTGCATGATTATCCTAATAAAAATCATCCCAAGCAATTTAATATATCACATCACAAGTTATTAATAATAGTGTAGAAAAATAAACATGCTTGGCCATAATCTTTTAATTATAAGGGGGCTAAACAATCTCTGGAGCATCTATAGAAAACAACGTTAGTATTTAAAGCTTTAATAATTTTGGACACCATTATTAGCGTTGCACGAGCGTGGCCACCTGCATAAGATTGAGTTAGTATAAAAGTCGCCCTAACCCATGGGCAATCTAACGCATAAGTCATAGCATAATCAAAGTATAGAAAATATAATAAAGTAAAGCTCAACCACAGTACAACAGATCAAAACATATCAATCAACACTCATGCTACACGCAAGATTATTATATTATTGAAACATAAAAAAATTAAACACCAGACCTAATACTAGAGCTAGAAGTGGTGCCTTAACAAATCTATGTGTTTTTAGTATGCTTGTGTAGCTTTGGATAGGTCCTAGGTAGGGTAGTTAGTTCAAGTTCTATAAAGTCTAGATTTATTAAAGGTCTGAAAATGAAACTTTACTTAAAGTTTAATTATTGATAGATTGAGATCCATTTTAGTTAATTTTAATTTATGGATCAATTTTAATTCTTAAGATAGTGATTTTCAAAGTTTAAGTTGCCTTAGTAGATTTTAGAAGGTCTAGGGTCCTCCTATACGCTAGATTGAGAGGGTCTAAAAGGTCACTATATGAAATATGTTAGGTTTGGGATTCAAGTATTTTAGTTAAATATTAGGCTTTACAAGGAGTACTTAGGCTTTGAGTTTGCTAGATTTAGAGTTTTCTAGGCAAAGTTATGAAATTTTTGAAGTTTCAGACAATGAATGAATTATTAAAATTATTAAATAAGGGGGGATTCTATGGTTTTGATCCAAATCAGCTCCAAATTGATTAGCATCACCTCCAAAGGTCATGAAGGACCTAAAAAAGTGTTCCCAAGTGTTTAGAAAAAATTTGGAATTTTTAATATTTTTTAAGTATTTAATAAGGACAAAAGGTAATTTTTAATTAAAGTTAAATTAAGGATTATATTAAAGAACAATTAAGGGATCCT